TTTGACTTTCGGTAACACTTTTGACTTTCGGTAACACTTTTGACTTTGGTAATACTTTCAACTTAACAAACATTTTTCGACTTCTGGTAATCTCTTTTCTGCAGGTGCCTTTAGTTGATCAACTGTTGCATTTATATAAAATTAGTAATTTCGTATTCATAATTTGAATTATGGTTAAAACTTTGCATGATATTTACTGATTGGCTAATCTATATAGATCTGTGATAATCTTTTTAGGAAAGAAATTATTCTTTCGTTATTTGGAATTTCTACGCAAATTTTTATTGAATAATGGGAATTCAAGGTTTCGAAACATGGATAAAGTATGCCAAGTTTAATTTTATTTTTCGTTTATCTTTATAAAAAGCATAAAATGTTGACAAACTTGCATATTTTATTAATAGAGATCGATATAGTAAAAACAAAAAGTTCTTAGAATGTATCAAAAAAGGATTGTAAGTTATACGGATTTGATAAAAGTTTAATTGAATTTGAAATAGTTTTATATATAAAAATGCTTAACACCACATTTATATTTAAAAAAAGCATCAAAGAGAATCCAGATAATTTTTATATCGATATGAACGGAATTATTCATGGAATTATTAATGAAAACCTGAGCACATATAATGGCACAGATAATGATATTATTTTTAACGCCATATGTGATTATATAGATGATTTAATTTTTATGATCGACCCCAAGCAATTAATTTTTATTGCAATAGATGGTGTTTATTTGATTTAATATTTCAATTGAAATATATTAAAATTTAAAATATAAAAATATTGATTCCCTGTCCCTCCACAAAAATAGGTGTTGCTCCAAGAGCAAAGATGAATGAGCAACGTAAAAGGCGGTTCGAAAAAGCTAATGCAAACGATAAATTTGATAGAAGCTCTGTGACTCCAGGTATATACATCAGTACAAGTAATTTTATAATTTTAATGTGTAATCGGATTATAATATTGCAAACTATTAGGAACGAAGTTTATGAAAGATTTTTCAGAGCATATTAAAGAATTTATTTCTAAAAAAAATCAGAATGATAGTGATTGGAGAACCAAAAAAATTATATTCTCTGGTCATGACGTACCAGGCGAAGGAGAGTATAAAATATTAGAATATATTCGTCGTTCTGAATTAGATAGTTTAAAGCATTTGATATTCGGAAAGGATTCAGATATAATTTTATTGGGACTTTTACAACATACAAAAAATATTAAAGTAATTTGTACTGACAAGTAAGGTTAATTTACACTATTCTATTTTATACATCTCGATATAGTTTTCACTATAATTGTTTTTTTTTAGAATCACTTCTAAAACAAAGAAGTTTGAAATAAAAGCATTACCAATTTTATGTGAAGATTTAGAAAAAGAATTTAAAAAACTTTGGGATGATAATCCTCGACCACCTTTTGAAT